TCCCCCAAATCCCCAAAATCCCCCAAATCCCAAAATCGCCAAAATTCCCCAAAATCCCATTTTTTTGGCCTCTGGGAGGTGGCAGGAGGTGACACCTGGGACGTGGCACCTGGCAGTGTTTTCCTGGAGGAGCCCCAGAATGGGAACGGGAATGGGATCAGGAACGGGATTGGGAACGGGAATGGGACTGGGATGGGATCAGGAATGGGATTGGGACTGGGATGGGATCAGGAACGGGATCGGGAACGGGAATGGGAGTGGGATGGGATCAGGAATGGGATTGGGAACGGGAATGGGACTGGGATGGGATCAGGAATGGGAATGGGATTGGGATGGGATCAGGAACGGGATTGGGAACGGGAATGGGACTGGGATGGGATCAGGAACGGGATTGGGATTGGGATGGGATCAGGAACGGGATTGGGATTGGGATGGGATCAGGAACGGGATTGGGACTGGGATGGGACTGGGATGGAGGCAGGAATGGGACTGGGATTGGGATGGGAATGAGAATGGGATCAGGAATGGAATTGGGACTGGGATGGGACTGGGATGGGGGCAGGAATGGGAACAAGAATGGGACAGGGAATGGTTTGGGAATGGGGTTGGGAAAGGCCTGGGAATGGGGTTGGGAACGGGATTGGGAATGGGATGGGATCAGGAACAGGATTGGGACTGGGATGGGATCAGGAATGTGATCAGAAACAGGATTGGGACTGGGATGGGACTGGGATGGAGGCAGGAATGGGATTGGGACTGGGATGGGATCAGGAATGGGAATGGGAATGGGATTGGGACTGGGATGGAGGCAGGAATGGGAATGGGAACAAGAATGGGACAGGGAATGGCCTGGGAATGGGGTTGGGAATGGGATTGGGAATGGGACAGGGACGGGACAGGAATTAATATTTTATTTTGTTTTTTTATTTTATTTTTAAATTTAATTTTTTATTTTACTTGATGTTACTTTCTATTTTATTTTATTTTTTATTTTATTCTATTTTATTATATTTATCTATTTATTTTATTCATGTTATTTATTTATTTTAATTACATTCCTATTTCTTTTCTTTATTTTAATTGTATTCATTTATTTATTCATTATATTTTCTTCGATCATCCTAGTGTATTTTATTTATTT